TGAGGAACCAGAGGCTTCCTGCAGTTGTGCTGTTGAGCTGAAAGTAACTTTCATTAATTGAGAAATTATGCATTCAGAGGGTGAAACCAAGTCTCTCCTTGGAAGCTAGGAGTTTGAAGGTCCATCTCACATACTTTGGGCACATGGCCAAGAGAGACTGGCCTTTGGAGAAGGACATCATGCTTGGAAGGGTGGATGAGATGGATTGATGTAGTAGCTGGTATCACGGTATTTTCAATTGCTTCCTGCGAATCTGAATGTTAGACAATTATAAGGATGAACAAGATTTGATGCCTTTGAATTGTGGTATTGGCAAAGAATGCTGAATATCCCATGGACAGTCAAAAGAACAGAAAAGTTTGTCTTGGAAAAAGTGCAATTAGGTTGCTACTTAAAGATAAGGATCATGAAACTCCTATACTAATGACAGCAAATGACAACATATCTATTCACAAAGCAACAATGAAATTTCATCTCACCTCAACAACAACAACAGTAAAGTTCAATAAGGCAGCAAAGAACAAATACTGGAGATGTAAAGAGATTGGAACTCTTATTTGCAGCTGGTGGGAATGTAAAATAGTACAGCTGCTATGGAAGGCAGTCTGTCACTTTCTAAAAAAAGTTGGAAATAGAAATATCATTTGACCCAGCAATTCCATTACTGGGAATATACCCTAGAGAAACCAGAACCACAACTCAAACAGAAGTATGCACATCCATATTCATGCTGCATTATTCAGAATAGCAAAGAGATGGGAAGCAAACCAAGTGCACATCAACAAATGAATAGATAGAAAAACTATTGTACATTCACACAATGGAATAGTATGCATCATTGAAAAACAATGAACTTATAAGACATTATGTAATATAGGAACATTATGCTGAGTGAAGTATCTCAGGTCACAAAAGGACAAATATTGTATAATACCACTGTTATAAAATAGGACAGATGGGGGTGAGTGGGCAGAGAATGGTAAACAAGTGGATAGATAATGAACACTGCATTAGAACAGATGAGGGGAAGAACTGTTCAAAAGAAATACATGCGATTAGGTGCTATATGTATTACAACAGCTGGAACAAAGAATGGGATCCTTGGTTGGGCTTGGGATGGAGGGAATAAAATGTGCAACAATGAATACATTAAAATAACTCCAACAACACATCTATTAATATGTAAAACTATGTTCATTTCTAATTATCTGTATCATCTGTATTATCTAAGCAACATCATGTTTAGTGGTGAAAAGACTGACATTGTCAAGGACTTCACTTTACTTGGATCCACAGTCAATGCTTATGAAAGCAACTGTCTAGAAATCAAACCTGATGCAAAACAAAACAAAAAAAACCCCAAAACCCAAAACAAAACAAAATAAACAAAACACACCATTTTTACAGTGTTAAAGAGTAAAGCATGTTACATTGGGGACTGAAGTCCATTGACCCAAGCCATGTTATTTTCAATTGCCTTAGATGCATGTGAATGCTGGACATTGAAGGCAATTTATGCCTTTGAATTGTGGTGTCAGCAAAGAATATGAAATGTACCATGGACATACAGAAGAATGAACTTTTTTTCTTGGTTGAGTACAGTCAGAAAGATCCTTGGAGGTGAATACTGCAAGACTTCATCTCACATACTTTGGGTATTGTAGTGTCAGAAACCTTGAAAATTGGCTTTTCTATTCATTTCATTTTGCTCTATTGAACACACTTGCTATGCATTAGAAAGCTGGACAATGACTAATGAAGACAAAAGAAAAATCAATGCCCCTGAGTTGTGGTGCTAGAAAAGAGTATTGAACATACCATGGACTGCCAAGAGAACAAACAGGTCTCTCTTGGAAAGAGTGAAATCAAGTTTCTCTTTAGAGGCAAGGATTTTGAAGCTCCATCTCACATACTTTGAACACATACCCAGGAGAGACCAGTCCTTGGAGAAGGACATAACAACAACAACAATGTCCATTTTATAAGCACCTATTCAGGGCATGGTCTCCAGCTACCTTAACTTCAAATATATGGTTTTGCAAATCATCAACAGCTTTGGGACCAATATAAGGAAGAGATGGTAGTGGAGAGATTGTGACATTGTGAAAAGACTGTGACACCGCTGAGACTGTGGCAAAGTGTAACCACAGCAACCCTAGAGATGGGGCCACGGTTAAAGGTTTTGCTTGCTGAAAGATTGAGGAAAAAGCTGACTCATCTGCTCTGAGATAAAGTTTGCTGGATGACTGAGGAAACCAGAGATGCATGTGTACTGTTGAACTGAACCTGGACTTTCACTAATTGAGGAATTGTGTCTTGCTAGTTTGGGACTACTAGACTAAACCTGGACTTGCATTGTGTGATATTCTTTGTCTTCTCCATTCCACAACCTATTTCTTTAATAAACCCCTCAGTTGTGAGTACAGTCTATGATCCCATTTGCAATGTATACTGGAATCAATGATTGGTAGAAATAGGTGCAGGAACACATGGGGTAGCATGTCTGGCCATGTAGCTATTTGAATGGTACTATGGATGTTATTGATGGGGATAGTTCCCCTTTAAGAAGCAAGTAGAAATTAGACCTGTCTTTCTTTCCCATGTTACTACTTCTCCTTTTACAGGTATGTTATTAAGAAGGGCCAGTCTCTGGCATGGTTAGTAAAGGAAAGACTCAGCATAAAGAAGACATTGAATGAGATGGACTGACCAGTGGTTGCAACAATGGACACAAGCACAGCAAAGGTTGTGAGGACGGTGCAGGACTGGGCAGGGTTTCATCCTGCTGTACGTAAAGTTGCTTTGAGTTGTAACAAAACTGACAGCACCCAACAAGAACAACGATATCGATATTATACATGTACTCATAACTATATATCTCTATCACTTGTCATACATCTGAGAGCTGCACAATGAATAAGGATGACTGACAGAAAAATAATTGATGTCTTTGAGTTGTGATGCTGGAGAAGGGTGCTGACTATTCCATCAACTGATGAAAGAACAGGTATATCTTGGAGGAGGTGCAATCAGAGTGCTCCTTGAGGCAAAGATGACAAAGCTTTGTCTCATATACTTTGGACATGTTGTTATATATCCCTGAAGTGAGATATCATGCTGGGGAAAGTGGAGGGATGATGAAAGAGAGGACGACACTCAACAAGATGGATTGACACGGTGACTGCGGCAATGGGCTCAACTGTGTCAGAGGTGATGAGGATGGCACAGGATAGCACAGGGTTCAGATCTGTTGTTCATAGGGTCACTGTGAGTCATGCTTGACTGGACAGCACCTAACGACAACGACAGCATCTTTGTATCAGAACAAGACCTGGTTCTCACAGATATTCTAGACTTGGGGCACATGGAAGGGTTTTGTCTGGTATAGTCTTATTATTTCTCTTATTGACCCGGCACTGAGGCCAGAGAGGTGAGATGGTTAAGCTCTCTTTCTTCTCTAGTTTCAACACTTCTATAATCACACAGATTTCATGAATTCAGGAAGAGTGCCGCAGTTACAGAAGCAGTTTGCACTGGCATGACCTACTGGCAGACGTTTTCCCTTTCCACAAGATAATTTTAGCCTTGCAGAATGTCAGGGGACAATAGGCCCCTGGTTGACTGTCCTTCTGCAGCAGGATTCAGGTCAGGTCAAGCTTGTACCGAGATTACAAGAACCTTTGGAGTCATTGGGGAGCAAATTAGCACTGTCTCTTCTGGGATTTTGGGAGCCTATAATTAGAGCAAGAGGTAAGGGAGGAGAATAAGCCTCCTGGGGGAAGAAGTAAGGGGGATGGGTGAGCCTTGATGGTGCAGTGGTTAGAGAGCTTTGCTGCTAACCAAAAGGTCCCAGAGTTGAACCCATCAGCTGCTCCACGGGAGAATGATGTGGCAGTCTCTGTAAAGATATACAACTTTGGAAACCTAATCAGGCTATTCTAGTCTGTCCTGTAGGGTCACTATGAGTCATAATTGGCATTGGGTGTCTTGTTTTGCATTTGCTTGGGTTTTTCTTTTTGTGGGCACAGAAAGTGGGAGAATTCTGGCGGAAGCAATGAGATTGACCAGAACAGAGCACAAAGACCATCTTGGCTGCTAGGACTTTTTATCTCTCACCAAGCTGGCCATTGGCCTGTGTGGGTTGAAGCCAGAACTAAAGCCTTTGTTGATTGAAGAGGAGTCTGGGAAGGGCTGGGAGGAATAAGGACTTAGGAACAGGCATCCCATCCCCAGCACCCTACTAGATGTCTGGCAGTAGGTTTCTGGGGCAGCATTAATTTCTGGAGGAGGATCAGGTACCCCATAACCAGGTGCTTGGATGCACATAGATTAAGCAGACAGCTTCTCAGGGTCTGAGTGGGGTTCCTAGGACATTCCATTGTGCAGAGTCTAAACATTTAAACACTGACTTTCCTTCTTCCCACACCCCCACACCAACTCTCTTACTAGTCTTACAAATGCAATGGCCAAACTTTCTAATTTCTCTGGCTACCATATGCTCCAAAAGATAGTATGTTTGCCCATGTCCTTTTCTAATGTAGGGATTGCCCCTTGAGTAAACACTGAATATGCTCTGAATCTCTGGGGAGGGCTACTCCTGTAGCCCTTTCTGAGCAAGCAGTTTGGCATTCACTGTAGAGAACTTGGGGCTTGGTGCTACCACTTTAACTTATTGGCTTCTCATGACTCAGTTTCTCTAGCTGCAAAAGGGTTGTAATAGTGTGGCCTCATGACACTTCTGTTGCAAACTGAATATCGAGCTCTTAAAATGGTCCCAGGCCATGGTAAAAATTATCTTTATTATAGAAATGATTAGTTCTTCTGCAATGAAGCTAATCAAGACTTCTTCATGAGCCCTTCAAACTCAACCCTTTCATGTTTGGCTAAAAGTCAGATTATACTGCAGCAAACAAACAGGAAATCATAGGGAATCCTGAGTGGTGTGGAGATGCAGACAACCCAGGACAGGAACTGGCTGAGGAAGCCATGTAGCCTCTTACCGTTCTGAATTTGCAGGCATGGTGGGGTCGATGGAGACCATGGTGTCGTCTGTGGTTAGGAGGGAGATGGTTGTGTTTCTGAAAGACACAAGACAGTGTTGTCAACTGCGCTGTTCTCTGCTCTGGGGTGCACAGATGGATTTGACACAGGTCTCAGTGACACAGTGTCTCCTAGAATTAACATCTGCATTCCTGTGGTATATTTGTTACTCTCGATAAAGCAATTTTAAGAGATTAACTAAAGTCTATAGTTTGCATTGCTGTTAGTTTCTATGGAGTTGATTGGGGATCATGGTGACCCCATGTGCTCGGAGTAGAACTGCTTCACAGGGCTCTCAAGGCTGTGACCTTTCAGAACCAGGTGTCTACGACTGTTATCCAAGAAGTCTCTGAGGGGATTCGAACCTCCAACGTCTTGATAGTAGTTGACCGCAATTAGGGATGATATCCAGACCCCAGAGATACCTCTACAACAAAATATTATACAAGCTATAAATGATATTATTGACATCAATAACAAAGAAATAATATACAAATATACTATAATTGGTGTCTTGATAGTGGCTTGTCTTGATGGCAGTCAGGCAAGGGAAGTTTCTGGGGTCCTTTTTGTTACGTGTTACTGTTTACCCCCCAAAAGTGGGTGGCCCTTGAGCTTTAGACTAAAAGTTAATGTGGAGCCCTGCTTGAGGCTGTGGCTTTAAAATCCTGTAGGGATTAAATTTTTAAAAAAAATTTTATAAGAATATTCTTTAAAAGACACAGCAATCATTTGTCTATTTGCTGTACTGAACAACTTGGAGTTGCTGTGATGCTAAACACTGTTCCATGGTTGTGTCAAATACTGTAATGGTTACCCATTATGTACAGTGGTTGGGTGAGTTTCCAGATTGATTCATGCTGGGAAGCAGGAGTGGCATCCACTTCCTAAACTAAGTGCCCCTGGAAACTCTACAAACTCTTATAAATGTATAGAAATGATGTTAATTATAAAACAGAATTCAGGTCTTTTGTGCAAAGCTTACTCTGAGTCATACTCAACTTGACAACAATTAAATGAGACTGGTGCTGTTATATCTGGAGGAACATTCTTTCACTATTCACATCACTCTTTGTCAATGTGCTGTATGAGGTAACCTGGGTTTGCTATGATGTTGAACCTTGTGCCATGGGAATATCAATTACCAGAATGGTTTCCCATTGTGGACAGTGTTTGGTAGAGCTCCCAGTTGTAAAACAGGTTGGGAAGAGAGTGACATTCATTTCCTAAACCACATGCCTCTGGAAACTCTATGAACTTGGAGAAACAATGATAGCTATGGAAAGGCATTAGGTCTTTTGTTCATAGAATTGCTATGAGTTGACCTTGACTTGATGGCAATCAACAACAACATACTATAATTACCTTTACTGTCATGTTAGAACAAAATCTTAGCTGACCCTTCGGAAGGTTTTCTGAGGTTGTAAATTGCACAGGAGATTGTCCATCTTTCTCCCTGGAAGCCACTGGTGGATTCAAACCTCCAGAGACACGACCTTTGGGTTAGTAGTTCAACTCCCTGTGGACTATGCCCCCAGAGCTCTATATATTATGTATCATATACAATATGTGGATATACAACTTTTATACAGCATATTATTACTCTTATTAGCTGCTGTCAAGTCAGCTCCCTCCTTATGGTGACAACATATGCTACATGAAATTCTCCATAGAGTTTTCTTGGCGATAATCTGTACACATACAGATCACCAGCCCTTTCTTCCACAGCATCATTGAGTGGCTTTGAACTGCCAACCTTCAGGGTAACAAATGATAACAAACTACTTGGTACCTGGGCACCTCACATATGATATAAAAATAACCTGTTGTCAGAAATCACATAGACACATTGTGTACGAGAGAAAACATACTGCCGGGTCCTGCCCATCCTCACAGCCACTGCTGCGTCCGAGCCCACTGTGGCAGCCACTGCGTCCATCCACCTGATTGATGGTCTTCCTCTTTTTCCCCAACTCTCTGCTTTACCAAGTGTGATGTCCTCCAGGGACTGGCCCCCTTTGGTAACATGCCCGAAGTATACGAAACAAACCCTCACCATTTTCCTTTCTAAGGAGTTCCCTGCCTGCGCTTCTTTCAAGATGAATTTGCTTGTTCTTTTGGCAGTCTGCAGTATACTCAATATTCTCTGTCAACACTACAATTCAAAGGTATCAATTCTTTATTTTCCTTATTCAGTGTCCAACTTTTGCATGTACATGAAGTGATTGAAATGCACGGTTTGGTTCAGGCTCTCCTTTATCCTAAGAGTGGGGAATTAGAGATTTTAATACATAATATATTAAAAACCAGGGACTTGTAGTTGTAAGGAATTGTGCTTCCAACCCAAAGCCAGAAGATTTGAATCCACCAGTTGCTCCAAGGAAGAAGGATAGGTAATTTCCTCCCATGTGATTTACAGCCTTTAAAAACACCCTAGAGGGTCAGGTATGAATGAATGGGTCCTAGCTTGATGGCATATACCAGTAACAATATTAAAAAATTGGGGGTGCTAGTGGCACAGTCAGTAGAGAGTCGCCCTGCTAACCCACGGGCCACATCTCTCTGATGGTCTGAATCCACCTGCCACTCTTCATGAGAAAGATGAGCAATCACCTCCTGTTAAGACTCAGAGCCTCAGAAACTGGAAGGGTTGCTATGAGTGGAACTCAACTCAAAGGTGTGAAATGATCCTGAGGGCCGGGGTTATACTAAAATAAAGACGGTGCTATTTGTAACATATTGGAGTGCTAATAGAAAGGCTGGTAGTTCGAATCCACCAGCCGTTCCATGAGAAAAAGATGGGAAGTCTCCTCCCCTGAAGATTTTTAGCCTTGGAAATCTGACAGAAGGTCATTATGAGTTGGGATGGACTTGACAGCAGTGGATTATACTAAAATATAGCTTATGAGAATATGAATGTATTTCTTAGTAAAATAAATGGTGTCAGGTATCTATTTGGGCTGTTTGTATTGCTATATTTGTTATATTTGTATAACTCTGCTAATTGCTCTAAGTATAGGCAGCTGGTTTCATCCTCTGACTCTCATCTCCTCTGTCTCCTGTTGTCCTCTCCTACCTCTCATCATCTTCCTTAAAGTTAATTGCAATGGGCATCCTTATTACTGGATTTGCTTTTGCAAATTGGAAAGTTAAGATGCTCATAATTAGAAATTTGCTTGTTCAAACAAACAACTGATTTAGGTAAAAACAGCCCTTAACTGAGTTCTGATGATTCTGGAAGGTGGAATTCTGGTCTCTTCAACTCATTTCTGGACTGTTGCTTTTACCAATGTTGATTTGTACTAGAAAAAACATCTGCCTGTTGGATTGTTTGGGGCTGGAGCACCAAAGCCAAAATGAATGAATAAATGAGAGAGGAATGAGGAAGGAAGGAGGCAGGGAGGGAGGGAAGAAGGAAAGGAAGGGTGAAGGAAAGAGGGAGGAAGCAGATCTTAACATGATAGTTTTTGCCTAAAATTGCCTGTTGCTTTTCTCTGTATGGACACAGCTAGGCCTCTTGACAAGCAGTGGCAGAAATAGCAACTGAGCTCTCTCCCCTGGGGCTTTACTGAGTGTTTTGAAAGAGCTCTGGAGAACAAGGTGAACCCAACTGGCCTCTTATGCGGGGCCTCATCCTTTCAAAGAACCTTTCCCTCAAGCGGGTCTGGAAAAGGCCTGGAGGAAAACGGCGCCCTCCCCTGACCAGAGGACAAGGAGCACTCACCGAGGCAGGCCAGTGGCGATGCAGAACAGGTCCATGATGTCACTGGAGTTGCAGTACTTGCTGAAGACCACCTACAAAACAACAGCAGCATGCAGTGAGGAGCGGGCAGGGAGAGGGGCAATTAGTTTCCATGGTGATGTCAGCCTCCACGTGCGCTTTCTCATTCCCACCTAAAGGTCTATTTTAAAAAGGGAAGGGGGAAAGGCCCTAGAATGTTACATGTGCATCTTTTCATTTAGCCAATTCATCCAGGTTATGAAAACGTCATTCATTTGTTCCGTGAAAAGAGCTTGAAAAGTAAATGATGATCTACGTAAACACACCTGTAATGACATTGTTGCTCCATGGAGAGTCTCGTAGGATATTGGAACAACAGACTGACGTGAAGCTTGGGCTTAATGATGTCGCAGGAGCCTCCACTTACCCCAGGGGGGCTTATTATGTTTAAAAATTAGCTTTAAAACATTTTTAGTAATCTTGGTTTTTAGAAAAATTGTCAGAAAATACAGCATTTCCCTTATCCGCCTTGCCCCTCTGCACACCATTTCCATGCATTCTTTGTGGTGCTGATGTTATTGTGGATGAGCCAATATGAAAGCATTATTACAATAGGATGGGCAGTCTCCTCCTGTGTGATTAACTGCCTCTGAAAACCCGCCGGAGGGTCAGCTATGGGTCGGTTCCGACTCTGCAGCACATAACAACAACAAAAACAACACACTAGATCATCTTAGGTTTCACTCTTTATCGTGCAGTCCTGTGATCTGACAAATCCATTCTGTCCCCACCGCATCATGTAGAATAGTCTCACTGCTCTCTACACACCCTGGGCTTCCTCTACTCACACCTCCCCTTCTTCACATGCTCCCAAGTCCCTGGCAACCATTGATCGTGCCACTGCCTCCATTTCATTGATGTTGAGTCAAAACCAACTCATTTCAGACCTTCTCCAGCTGATTTTTGGAGGCTGTAAATCACACGGGTGGCGACTGTTCATCTTTCTCTCAAGGAGCAACTAATGGATTTGAACTGCCGGACAGACACCGCCCTCTGTGTTAGCGGCACAACTCCCTATGGAGTACACCACCGGAGTGCCTTCCTGTTTCTGTGGTTTCCCCCTTTCTAGAACGACCTGTAGTTAGAATCACACAGTATTCTTTCATTTAAGAGATATGCATTGACCAACAAGCTGTTGTTGAGTTGCCCTAAAGCACCATGGTCTCGTGTGTGTTAGAGTAGAACTGGTCTCTGTAGACTTTTCAAAGAATGGGTTTTTGGGTTTTATACCGTAGAGGCCAGGCTCTCCTTTTGAGCCGCTTTTGAGTGAACTCAAACCCCCTAACCTTTTCATTAGTACCTGAGAACTCAGCTGTTTGCACAGAGGAGTATACCTTGGAATGAAATTTCCACAGCTTTAAATCAGTTTTCTCAAGGCTTTTTCCAAAGGAGGTGCAGGACCAGGAGCACCTCAAAGACGTGGGCATCTCAATCTGCTAAGCATGAGAACACTTTTCTGACACCTGCCTTTGCCAAGAAGGGGAGTGACCCGGCCAAGGCCACGCAGCACCCAGGCACATCCTCAGCACGGCCTCTTCCTGTGGGACATGAGGACCAGGGTTGTGGAAGCCTAGGTGGGAGTCACTGACTCTGCTTGTTATTTCCGTGACCTGCACAAGTCATTCAGCCTCTTTGAACGTCAATTTTATCTCCTATTAAATGGGCATGAAAATGTGTAGCTGCTATGTCCAACTTCTTTTGTGTCACTCTGATGCTGGCCTGAAGGCTCAGCAGTCAGCAGCCAGAGTTTGTGACTAGTGCAGAAAACAGATTCTTGGGGATTGGGTGCTGATGACTTCAGACTGTTCCAGTGCATCATTGGGATCCCCAGCTCTCTTTTCTGTTGAGAAATAGCCAGTTTTCTGACACTGTAAGAAGCTGCACTGCAATCCCAAAGTCAAGCGGTTCAAATCCACCAAGGGACAAGGATCTCCTCCTGTGCAATTCACTGCCTCTGAAAACCCACTGGAGGGCCTTCTAAGGGTTGGTTCTGACTCAGTGGTACTCAACAACAACACAAGGTTAGAAGAGTGAGAACTAATTAATTACACAGGACTGAATGAGCTGGCAGGGAATGCTTCCTGGGGTTGCCTGGAATACTGTTGTTTTTCTAATGTTTGATTTTCTGAATATATTGCTGGTATGAGCTGTCCTTGAGTAAACTCCAACCCATGACAATCTTGTTGACAACAGAACACAATGCTGCCTGGCCCTGTGCCATCCTCTCAATGGCCAGCATGTTCAAGTCCATTATTGTAGCTACTATGCCATTTCCTGTCACTGAGGAGCTCTCACTCCCTTGTATAAGGGAGCCCTTTCTCCTCAAGTTACCTGTAACTCTTAACAATATAGTTGATTCTTTTGTGAGTCAAAATGAAATAATGTCTGATTTTTACTGACTTTCCAAATTCAGACTCTTTTAAAGCCTTCCTTTGATGGATATATTGTTCTTTGCAAAGGTATCATAAGCATTTGTTGGCTTTGTTGTTGTTGTTATGGGCCGTCGAGTCGCCTGCGACTCATAGCGACCCTATGTACAACAGCCCTAAACTCCGCTCTGTCCTGTGCCAATCGCACTGTCTCTGACACTCCCATCCCAATTATCCCAGTCACTGAATCAATCCACCTCATAGAGGGCCTTCCTCTCCTGCGCTGTCCCTCCACCCTCCCAAGCATGATGTCCCTCTCTAAGGACCTGTCTCTCCTCACAACATGTCCAAAGTAAGTTAGACGGAGCCTCAGACTCCTTGCCTCCAAGGAGCCACCCGGTTTAACCCTTTCCAGGACAAATCTGTTTGTTTTCCTAGCAGCCCATGGTATTCTCAATACTCTTCTCCAGCACCACAGCTCAAAGGCATCAATTCTCCTTCTATCATCCTTGGTCATTGTCCAACTCTCTGATGCATAACAAGTGATTGCAAAAACCATGGCCTGTATCAGACGCACCTTAGTCTCCAGAGAGACACCATTGCTCTTCAGCACTTTGGAGAGGTCCCTAACAGCAGATTTTCCCATGGCAATGCGCCTTTTAATTTCCTGGCTGCTGGTGCCAAGTCTGTTGACTATGGAGCCGAGCAAACTAAAGCTGTGTACAATCTCAATCTCTTCACCATCCATCCTGATGCTGCCAATTGGTCCAGTGGTGAGAATCTTTGTCTTCTTGACATTGAGCCTCAATCCATATTGCAGGCTGCAGTCCTTGACACTCTGCAGCAGGCGCTTCAGGTCCTTCTCAGTTTCAGCAAGCAGGGTTGTGTCATCTGCATAACGCAGATTGTTGATAAATCGTCCACCAATCTTGACCCCACATTTCTCCTCATAGAGCCCAGCCTCCCGGATAATCTGTTCTGCATATAGGTTGAAAAGGTATGGAGATAGTGTTACTAGGATATAAATGGGCAGGGGGGGGGATGGGACCAGTCATGTGTCCCAGACCTTGCCTGGAAAGTCATATTTGAGAAAGATACTTTTTATTTAGGGAGAACCTGACAAGTATAAAAGGTTGAACTTTAAGGAGCTAATGCTTACAAATCACTACTAGGGAACTGGCCTGCTCCCTGGCACTCAGGTTTCTCAGCTGACATTAAATTTAAATGCCAACTTGGTTAGGCTATGGTTCCCAGTGTTATAATTTTTGAGCACTGTCAAATTGGAACTGACCCATAGCTGACCCTTCCTTCAGTGAATTTTCAGAGGCAGTAAATCACATTGGAGAGAATTGTTCATCCTTCTGCTGAGCAGCTGGTGAATTTGAACTATGTGCCTTTGGGATTCCAGCACAGCTTCTTACCACTAGACCATCAGTGCTCTCCATAGGATCTGGAGAAGAGAATTGACCCAAATTTCTCAGTACAGCAATTAGCTCAGATGGAGAGAGTTGAGCATAACTGAGGTCGTGTGGATGGCACAGGATAGAGCAAACTTCCATTGTGTGGTTCATGGAGGTGCTACGCTCAAGCTTATTTCTGCAGTCTCTGTGCGAATCCTGAGCAGAAGGTAAGAATTCTATCTGAACCATCACTGCTTCCATAGCCACAGATTATAATTTGCAAATCCTTTCTACTTCACGGAAACAAGTGTGTACACAAAGCACTGGCAAGATGAAATTAAAGAACATGACTTGGAAATAGCAAGCACAAAGGAAAAATCAAGATTTTATAACGCTGTCCAGCTCCAAGGGTATAATAAGTAAGCAGGGCAGATCACCCAATCTCTCTTCTGTGGTTTGATTGGCAGCGCGGTGATATTAAAACAAGACCAGAAAAACAAATGAGAGTGCCTCTCCTCCACCAGATATTGATCATCCTCATATTCAGCTGAGGCTTGTGAATGTCAGTAGGTATTTTCATGTCGGAATTCTTACGCTGTCTGCATAAAAGAATAACTAATACTGGCCCGGCACTCACCACAAGCCAAATACACTTCTAAGAGATTTATACCAGGAAATTGTGCTGGTAGACTTGTATCTCCACAAAAACACATGGTGAAGTGCTAACCTCTGATACCTATGAACTTGACCTTTTTTGGAAATAGAATCTTTGAGGATGTTAATAACTAATATGAGGTCATGCTGGAATAGTGTGGATGCGAATCCTCTATCTCCTTATAAAGAAGAGAGACAGCTTCAGGGAAGACAGCCATGTGAAGCTGAAGGCAGAGGCTGGAATGATGAGGAGCACTGGGAGCCACTAGAAGCTGGCAGAGACGACACCCTGATTTCAGACTTCTAGCCTCCAGAGCTGTAAGAGAATATGTTTTTATTATTTTAAATCACCTACTTCATGACATTTTGCTTTTATTACTGTTATTGTTGTGTCATTAGGTGCTGTTGAGTCGAGTATGACTCATAGCGACCCTACAAATAACAGACCTGAATTCTGTCTGTCCTATGTGATGCCATTCTCTGATACACTTGAGCCCACTGCTGCAGTCACCATGTCAATCCACCTTGTTGGGGATCTTCTACATTTCTAAGGTTGATATCCCTTTCCAAGGAATAGCCTCTCTTAGCAAC